TGACCACACATCCATCCCCTGCTTCTCCTTCCAAGGCCTCATTCTCAGAAATCCCCGCCTCATTCAGAGACCGGATTCTTCCCCATTTCCTTACGATTTCACCTAATGCTGTATGTCTGTTTGAAATAGATTTTGGTATATATTGAGCTGTAAGAATCCAAATTTATTTCCTTCCTGGAGAGCTAAGTAATTGACTCAATTGTCTTATGAATAATCCATTCACTGCTCATCATTTTTTGAATGCTTCCTTTCTGTCTGGCCTTCCTCCCATAACCCCCTGAAATAATGTCATGGCTAGCTGCTGCGGAGTTGACAGAGCAGCTCTGTGGTGTTTTCAAGGTTGTGAATGTCGAGGAGTAGAGAGAGCGCCAGGCCTTTCTTCTGAGCCTCCTCTGGGTCGGCTAGAATCATCAAGCTCTCAACTGTCTCAACCCCCAGGGACTCTGGTCTCACTTTGATAAAACCAAAAAAGTAAGGAGTGCTCTTATTAGATGAAGACAAGGTAGCTGTAACTGCTAACTAACGTGGTTTTTCCAGGACTGTCTGAGATTTCTGGGGATCACGCCTCACTCTCAGACAATCTTGTGCTTTCATCCTCACATTTTATCAGTGAGGGAAAGGGAGCCGAGAGGGGCCACAACTGGTGACAGGCTATTGTGAGCGGATGCGCTTTGTCGCCAGGGTTCCTTAAAACTGTGCCCAAGGAGGACATAAAGCTGATGAACCGAAAGCTAGATGGAAGGGAGTTCTCAGCTGGGGCAGGAATGAGATTTTCAAACTGACAACAACAGAAATGTTTGCCTTTTCAAGCAAAGCAGGGCACACACAAAAGATGCAGGCATTTGCATCTACAATGCTGCACAGAAATACTTGATGACACAGGAAAATGTTCTCTCTGTGTTATTAAGTGAAAATGTCAATTGTAAGGCAGTAAGAACAACACAGCTTTAGTTTAAGAGGAAATCAATCTATTAACATAGACATATGTGGAGGCCTTGGGAAGCTAAAGTGCTTTGGTTGCTAAAGGAAAGGTTAGCGGTTCAAGTCTACCTAGAGGGGCTTCAGAAGAAAGTCCTGGTGATATGCTTTCAAAACCCTGCACCTGGCAGACCCTCTGGAGGCGGTTCTACTCTCACACACGTGGGGTGACAGGTGGCAATTGCTTGCACGTGTGTGTTTTCATCCATATGGATGTTGTTGTTGTTAGGTGTCCTTGAGTAGAATCTGACTCATGGCGACCCTGGGAACAACAGATCTGAACCCTGTCCCATCCTGTGCCATCCTCATCATCTCTGACACACTCACAGCCATTGCTGCAGTCACTGTGCCAATTCTGACTTGACTTCCCATCTGGGTTCTACCTCTAACACTGTATCTATATTCTTCTCTTCTCCACAGGGTTTCGGGAGGTCGGCTGTTTCACAAGCGGAAGGTGATCTAATCTACTTCCTAGTCCGTCTTATCTGGGAGCTCTACTAAAACCTGTCCACCCCAGGTGACCTCGTTGGGATCTAACTCACTGGTGGTACAGCTTTTCAGCGTCACGGCACTCAGTTACGGCAGTACAGCGAACTGACAGCTATAGAGAGCTATAGAGAGAGATATTTCCCATTGGAGAAAAAAGAGGCACTCTGCTTTGACCAAGATGGGCAGCCTTGGACACCCCAGGAGGCAGTTCTGCTCTGCCCTCAGGGGTCACTATGGGTCAGAATTCAACTTGGGGGTAATAGGTTTGGATAGCCCATCTCTATCTATAGATCTGTCTGTGTATCTATTCACTGCTGTGGAGTCAATTCTAACTCATAACGACCCTCTACTGGGTTTCTGAGGCTGTAAATTTTTATGAGAGAAAAGTGCTTATCTTTGGCCTGAGGCTTTCTAGGCAGATTTAAACCACTAACCTACCAGTCTGCTGACACCTAACACACTGGGTCTCTCTGTGCATACACACTGGAGGCAGAAAACCTATGTCCTGGCTCCATGTCTGGTAAGGCGGGTGTCCATGTACACAAATGCGTGTACACACACACACACACACACACACACACACACACACACACAGTGTCAAACGGCATCTATCAAAGGTCCATGTTCTCTCTGAAGTTGGGACGCCTGGCCCCAGTCCTGGCCCCATGGAATTCACTAACGGGCAAGTCACTGTGTTGGGGACTCGGCCTCTTCCTCAGTGTAACGGGGATGGGAACACACCGACACCTCGCAGGGTGAAGGCAGAATGGATGAGCCCACGAGAAGCACCTGAGAGTCATATCTGGCAGCGCATGCTGTCACTAGAGGGGGCATAAGTGACACCAAAATGATGTTTATAAAAACGTTTTAACAAATATATCTCTGTGATTTATAAGAAGGCATCTCCAGTTACAAAGATGGCGCCGAAAGCGAAGAAGGAAGCCCCTGCCCCTCCCAAAACTGAAGCCAAAGTAAAGGTGTTAAAGGCCAAGAAGGCAGTCCTGAAGGGCGTCCACAGCCAAAAAAAAAAAGAAGATCCGCACATCACCCACCTTCTGGCGGCCTAAGATGCTAAGACTCCGAAGGCAGCCCAAATACCCCCGGAAGAGCGCCCCCAGGAGAAACAAGCTTGACCACTATGTCATAATCAAGTTTCCCCTGACCACTGAGTCAGCTATGAAGAAGATAGAAGATAACAACACACTTGTGTTCATTGTGGATGTCAAGGCCAACAAGCACCAAATTAAACAAACTATAAAGAAGCTCTGTGACACTGATGTGGCTAAGGTCAACACTTTGATTAGGCCTGATGGGGAGAAGAAGGCCTATGTTCGACTCGCTCCTGACTATGATGCTTTGGATGCTGCCAACAAAATTGGGATCATCTAAACTGAGTCCAGCGGGCTAATTCTAAATATACATTTTTCTCTCCCCCCACCCCCCCCAAAAAAGGTGTCTCCACAGTGAGCTGCACTGTTGATCCAGCTGCAGTTCCTGGGCAGTTCCAACGCACCAGCCACTCGGAGGGGGAGATGCAGGCACTTTCCTCCCGTGCAGTTCACAGCCTAGGAACCTGGGTCAGAGGGAGGACCTACCGGACGACCACAGCAGGGCTCATCTACTCAAAGGCTGCCTCACAAAGACCTATGTACACAGCATCCAAGTATCTTCAAGGCTTTGCCAGTCGCCTTTGAGCCTTCTAATGCGCTCCGGCCTGGGAGGTCCTCATCACCCAATCGCAAGGGTGTTCCCCACCACGTGGTTTCATCTGTAAGCACTAAAGACACTCGCTGCTGTTTTCATTGCTGCTGGTGTTCATATATATACATACGGTTGCTGATTTTGGCAAATGTTCTGGTGGTGAGGCCACAACTTTGTGGTAACTGGTATTTGTGGACCTACGTCACTGTTTTAAGAATGAAGAATTTATTAAAGGAGCAGGAGAAAAAGCCATAAAGTATTCCGCACAGCCACAAAGAATGTTCTAACTACTGATGTTGTGCTTCAATCTATAGATTTCACAAAACAAGCTTTTGTTAGTATTCACAGAATCTGAGAAACATTCCACTTCAATAATTTACAGCTCCCGATATTACATAGTATTCTGTAATTAAAACTGGTCACAACATTCCGAAGAGTCCTCCCAGGTCTGCACAGGAGGAGGTCCATGCGGGGTCAGTGACACCAAGAGCTGTCACACTGGGTGGCACTCATCCCAGTGGTACCACAGATGCTGGGTCAGTAGAAAGTACTCAACAATAACTGTGTTATCAATACTTTCTAAGATTGTTATTATTTGCAATCAGCGGGCTTTAATGTTTCAGAGGGGTGTATTATCTTATCATAGGAAATTGGAGATGATCACTTCAATGTTTTCTCTGCCAGACATCGTTCCATGACCTGGTGTCGAGAAATGAGGACCTAGAAGTTCACCGAAGAAGCCTATCTGATGCAGACCTATGTTTATCTCAGCTTTGTTCACAGCAGCAAAGAGTTGGAAACAAACCAAGTGCCCATCAACAAACGAATGGCTAGAGAAGCTGTGGTATAGTCACACAATGGAATACTATGCTGCATTGTAAAATAAGGAACTCATGAAAATTATACAAAATGGGTGACCCTGGAGGACATTATGCTGAATGAAGTATCTCAATCACAAAAAGACAAATACTGCATAGTGTCACTGTTATAAAACAGGACTGACATCGGGGTTGGGGGGAGACTGAGAAAGATGGGATAAATTAAGTATACTGCATTGAAACAGATGAGGGAGAGAACTGTTTAAAAGGGATATAGGATTAGGTATTATTGTCATGACAGGAGTCCAGAATGAAGGTTGCATAGTGGAGTGGACTTGGAGGGAGGGATTGTATAACAATGAAAGAATTTTTCTTTTACTTTTCAAAGAGAAGAGTGAACTGGGAGGGAGGTTGGGCAGGGAGAAAAGTGCAACAATGAATGACTGGAAATCTAAAGTCTCTGTAAACTTTCATTAAAAGTAATAATAAAATAAACAAATAAAAAAAGGAAGTCTATCTGAGCCCCAACTATAGACCCCAGTGATGGCACAAGTCTCCATGTACATGTCCCCAAGCAAACCTAACACTGCTGAGTCAGTTTCAACTCCTAGTGACCCTTCAGGACAGAGGGGAACTGTCCAAAGTGCTTCCTAGACTGTAATCTTACGGAAACCGACAGCCTCGTCGTATCCCGTGCGTAGCAGCAGGCCGATTCTGAACTGCCAAATTCTTGGTTAATAGCTAAATCAGTGTACCACCACAACTCCCGGAAGACCACAAAATCAAAATGTTCCACAGTGAAGTCACAGCTCACTCTGGCCCAGGGAGAGTGACTGCACCAGCATTGGTCCCTGACCCCTGGTCACGGGCATCCCATGTCTCCTCTTCCACCTAAGAGAGCCCTGGAAGAGCCCCTAACCTGATGGATGAATGTGTGACCCACTCTGTTGTCTCCTCCCTTGGCAAGCCAATCAGCACCCTGGACAGCGAACTCAGAGCCTCATGCTTCATTACCTCCCCATAAGCAATGGTGTTATTGTATCTTCTCATTTCTGGGTAGACGTGGTCCAGATACCACTGAAAGTTCTTGCACTTTAAGCTTTTCCTTAATGCTCTTCTTTCAGAGACATCACCAATGTCGATTCCTGGGTTCTAGAGGGAAAGAGAAGCAAGCAGTTAGCGAGGGTGGGGTGCCATCTGTAGGGAGCTCCGAGAAAAAGAGGATCCGAGGCTTTCGTGGGAGGCTTACTCTGAGGCTTAAGGATATCAGCTTGAATCATCTCCACTAGCCCTCTGTCCTTCTGTCTACCCACTCTTATGTCCCTCTGTCCTACTCTGGTGACATAAATGTTGCTGCGATGTTGGAATCTATGCCACTGATGTCTGAATTACCAGCAGGTTCATCCAAGTGAATGAGGAGACATTCAGTGCTCCCTACTGGTTGGATGCTAATGTAGAGTATTTCTAATCTATTTGGCTTGGTTTCATGAGATAAAATTTCATAAATAAGCTGTGTTTTCCAACAGTAACATATTTATGTTTGTTTTAATTTTAAATTAAAATTCTATTTCTTGTAAAAAAAATTTTCATAAATAGAGGGGTGTGTGTGTATGTGTGTGTGTGTGTATGTGTGTATGTGTGTGTGTGAAAAACCTTAGCATCAGGATCCCAATTTCCTTCAAATCAGAGTCACCCACGCTAAAAGCTGGAGCAGGGGAAGGTGCTCAGCCCTCTGGACATCAGTTGGCAGTTGTCTGACCACCTGATGGTCAGTGTGTCACTTACTGTGGTGGCTTATTTATCACTGTGATGTTAGATGCTACATCTCTAGTCTTTCAGACATCAGCATGATCACTTATTGACAGGTTTCAGTGGAGTTTCCAGATCAAAACAGACTAGGAAGAAAGGCCTGGTGATCGACTCCCAAGAGTAAGTCAAAGAAAACCTCATGGGTCATAACAGGGGGTTGTCCTCTGTGATGCAGGAAGGTGGGAGGGTTCTGGGGACCCTCAGTGGCAGAAATGACGGACTTGAACATTGTGATGCGGGCACAGGGCTGGGCAGTGTTTCATTGTGCTGTAATCTGGTCCCCATGAGACACAGCTGACCCTACGGCAGCTTGAGTCCTCTCGAATCTGCCCAGAAGGAACCCTAGAGCGGTAGTGGGTACTGTGTCAGGCTGCCAACGGAACGTCAGCAGTTTGAATCTTCCAGCCACTCCTCTGGTGAAAGACAGGCCGTCTCCTCTTGTAAAGATTTACAGCCTCAAGGATTTACTTCCCAAGGGAAGGTTGCCACGAGGTGGCATTTACTCGTCAGCAGTGGGTTTGATTTGGGAGGATCCCATGCAGTTATGAGCACACGCCCCTGAATCCCTGCTCCACACTGCTGACCTCACCACTATGTGGAAGGGTCCCGGGACAGATGCCGGATGCCCTCTGCCACGCCTGCCTTCTCCCCCATTCCCGCCGAGCCAGGTCTTACCGGGGTCCCTTGACTGAGACAGGCAGTAAGCTCCTATCCCCACCTCCGTCTGTCTGTCTACGTGTGTGACCTCCCTCTTTTGTTGCCTCTCTGCGAAGTTCATTATATTGCCGAAGCGAAAATAATTTTCCATCGCAAAGCTTGTAATGATGTTCTAATGAATAATTCACTCTGCTTTTACAGAAATGAACCTGTAATGGGCTGCTGTGTGCTGACAGGGAAAAATAAAGTATCTGAAATACGACCCCGCAGGCTCAGCCACAAGCCGGCCCTGGATTAGTGGAGCGGGTGGGATGGTCTCTCTGGAACCAAGCAGCATTCAGAAGAAGAGCTCAAATCATTTCATCAAGGATGGGCCGTCAATCTGCGTTTCCAAAGGTCTCGTCCAGACATTAAAATTCAAAGGCAAACCTAAAAAGCCATTCTAACTCTTTTCTCTTAATATATTTCACCTGACTGATGAAAATGGCCACTTTTTTTAAAAAAAGAAAAGCATGCGTGGATGAGGCATCAGGAGCTTGTCTGCAGGGATGGGCAAGGTACTGGCTGGAGGTGGGGGATTTAGCTGTCAGTTCCATCATTTGCCTCAGAAATGATAGTAAATGTTTTCTACTGACCTCACTGAACACTACGATGAATGGAGAAAAGACTGGCGTTAAGGATTTAATTTTACTCGGTTATGCAATGAACTCCCACGGGAGCAGCAGTGAAGGGAGCAAAAGGTGTGCTGCGTTGAGCGAAGCTGTTGTCAGGGACCTCTTTCAAGTGTTAAAGAGCAAGGATACCAAATTAAAGACTCCAGTGCACCAGACACAAGCCGAGGCATTTTCATTTGTTTATATGCGCAGGCAAGCTGGACAATGAGTAAAGAAGACCAGAGAACTGATGCTGAGAAAGTGCAGTCAAGTTGCTCCTTAGCAGCAAAGATGGTGAAAGTTCATCTCACATGCTGTGGGCGTGTTGCCAGGAGGTGCTGGGGAGAAAAGTAGGTGGTCAGAGAAGGAGAGGAAGATCCTCAAGGGCATGGACTGGCACAGTTATTACCACAATGGGGTGAAGCACAGGGGTAGTTGTGAGATGGCCCAGGCCCAGGCAAGGCTTTGAGCCGTTGTGCATGGGATGCTATGAGATGATGCTATGGGATGTTGTTCCTGCTACTGGGTACCATCAAGTTGTCTCCAACTCACCACAACATTATGTACAATAGAAGTAAGTGTTGCCTGGCCCTGAGCCACCCTCACTATAGGAGCCATGCCTGAGCCCACAGTTGCAGTCTCTGTCCCAGTTTCCTTGTAAAAGCACTTAGATTTTAACAACTATGAAGTGTTACGTGGCATAAGTGATGTTCAATTATTCAAAAAGTATTTTAAAAAATCCTCACAAGTATAGGACATTTTTACTTTTGTCCTCATTACTCATAAAATTTGTACACATTCAATTGCAATTATGTTGTACTAAGCTCCAGCCTCCTGAAACAAAAGGGCTGCCGACTCTCAGTGGGGATCAATTCGGTTCACTCACTTGGCCCGACTCAAGGACTCCTGGGGAAGCTGTGGCTGTGGAGAAAAGTCCAGCTCATCATAACGTGATTAAATTAACAACATTCACCAACATTACTGGGCATGTTGTTGTTGTTGATTGCCTTCGAGTTGAGCATGACTCACAGCGACCCTATGAACAAAAGGCCTGAAGCCCCTCTACAACTATCGACATTTATCAAAGTTCACAGAGTTTCCAGAGGCATGTTGTTTAGGAAGTGGATGGCACGCCTGCTGCCAGGGCCATTCAGTACCCTGAGCACGTCCTGTGTCTTAAATCCAGTTCGTTCCCTTAATCACCATATGAGAAAGAAGATCTTCTTGTTTTATATTGAAAGGAACTAATCCAATAGAGGCATAGATTTGTTCAAGATCTCATAGCTACAGGGTGGCAGACAGGGGTTCAAAGCCCAGTGGGGCTGGAGTATCCAGGACCTTTTTCTTGGCCAGATTCCAAGCAGAGCAGGAGGCAGAGCTGAAGATGCAGGTAAACAATGGATTTGGTGAACGCTGGGCCTGTCACAGGGCAGTGGCACCCTGAAACAGGGAACACGGTGGGAGGTGATGTCGCAACCTGATGCCACGACTCTGGGTAAGATTGTTCTGGGCATGTGTGTGTCCAAGAGCGGAGTCAGTGGACCGAAGCAGTCAGAGAGAGATCAACACAGCAGCCTTCTCGTCTCAGCCAATGGATTTAGGGATTTCCATTGTGCTAATCCCCATATAAGTACAGCAGGGCTTCTAAAACCCGGGGTCTGTGAACGCCTTCCCAAAGCAGCTGGGATTCTGTTGCATGAGATGAGTCACTGAATGTGTCCATTTGGTTAAGCTACTATCCCCAGTGGTTTGGTGCAATTCTAGAGACATTACTGTTCTATAAGACCATGTAACATGATTGTCTTCTGAAATATCATCAACCAGTCACTGGAAAGGGGGCTTCTTGAGGGTGTGGCCTGCCTACACCTTCATAACAGAGACTCATGTTGTGGGAGAAATCACTCTCTATCTAGACTCTGCAAGCTTCCCTTGTCCTGACCTACTGAAGCCTCCAGGGGTCTCCTGTCTGCAGCACGACCTATGGTTTCTGGTCTTGACATCCCCACAACCTCAGAAGCCAATCCTTTGAAGTAAGAGTGTGTGTAGGATGACTTTATTTACTGGCACTTCTTCCTTCCTTCCTTCCTTCCTTCCTTCCTTCCTTCCTTCCTTCCTTCCTTCCT